TTAGAAAGCAAAATAGAAAAACAATCTACAGAAATATTCAACCATAGGAAGCTGACTGCATAGGAGTCTTTTGGGATCAACTTGTGGAAGTAGGCTGGAATTTTATTGTAGAGGATTTTGAAAGTAGGGTAAGTAAGTTTGGACTTACTTATAAAATTTTGAAAGCACTTAATTTTACTGGTAACAATATTTGTAGCCCATATTCTGATTATGGTAAAAGTGCACACTCATTCTAGTGAATTCAGAAAATACAGAAATAAAGAAAAACATTGAGAATTACCCATAATACTAGGGTCTAGACTATTACTAATTTTTTTCTTTTTTTTAATACAGTTGTCTCCATTTTCCCACCGCCAGTTTCCCCTGCCCCACCAACCCCCACCTCTCGCCCTCAATCCTTCCCCACTTTGGCTTTGTCTATGGGTCCTTTATGCATGTTCCTTGACTTAACCCTTCCCCTTCTTTTCCCATTAATACCACCACCCCCCACCTCCCCTCTGGTTACTGTTGGTTTGTTTTTTCTTTCAATGTTGTTGGTTATATTTTTCTTGCCTATTTGTTTGGTTGACTAGGTTCCACTTATAGGTGAGATCATATGGTATGTGTCTTTCACCCCCTGTCTTATTTCGCTTAGGGTAATGCTCTCCAGTTCCATCCATGCTGTTGGGAAGGATAGGAGTTCCTTCTTTCTTTCTGCTGCGTAGCATTCCATTGGGTGAATGTACCATAGTTTTTTGATCCACTCATTTACTGATGGGCACTTAGGTTGCTTCCAGCATTTGGCTATTGTAACTAGCACTGCTATGAACATTGGGGTGCATAGGTTCTTTTGCATTGGTGTTTCGGGATTTGTAGGATATAATACCAGAAGTGGCATTTCATGATAAATTTTTAAAATGCATTTCTATTTAGCAGTTTTAAAATGTGTATTTATATGTGTTTTTTGACTTCGTTATCACACTATTTATAGTTACCCCCCTTAAATTTTTACTATGGAAATTTCCAAACATACCCAAAGTATAGTATGATGAATTTCTATATAACAATCACCTTATTTCAATCCTTGCTAATCTTATTGCTTTATCTTCTTCCTGTATACACGATTTTCCCTCTCTAGTATTTTAAAGGAAATGTCAAAGTCAGTATGACTTAAAAATTATCATAAATTGTTTATGTATAATGACCAAGGGAGGAGAAATTGTATTCGTTTGCTAGAGCTACTGTAATAAAATACCACAGACTGGGTGGCTTACACAACAGAAATTCATTGTCTCACAGTTTTGGAGCTGGAAGTCCAAGATAGAGATGTCCGCAGGTTTAGTTTCTTCTGAGGCCTTTCTCCTTGGTTTACGCACGGCCGCCTTCTGACTATGATCTCATGTGGGCTTGCATGTCCCTCCTGTCCCTGTGTGTGTCCAGGTCTCCTTTTATAAGGACATCAGTCAGATTTGATTAGTTCCCACCCTAATGTTCTCATTTTAACTTAATCCCCTCTTTAAATGTCCTATCTCCAAATACAGTCACATTCTGAGGTACTGAGGGTTAGGGCTTCAACAGGTGAGTTTTGGGGTCACTCATCCCGTGACAGATGTTAACAGCAATTTTAAAGTTTCTGCTCCTGGCAGTGTTACTTATATGAGAAAATTAGGAATACTCAGAGAAGAAAGATGATTTTTTTTTTCCTCAGAAGTTATTCTTGCATATAATAACTCTCAGCTTCTCGCTCTCGTGTTAGGCTGCAGGGACCTCTGTTTCATGGACCGTGTCATATTCTTCTCAGAGTACCCAGTGCAAGGGAGGCAGAGAGGAGTTAATTACTCAATGAATAAGTGTGATTCGTGTAGCTGTCCAAAAGGGTCCTACAGCCTGGGATTAGAGAACAGAAAAGAAAGATAATCGATATCCAGATTCCTTGTCTTTTATTTTACTTCTGGTGGACTGTAGAGTCTACCAACTTTCTGAGTATTTAAAAGTTGATATATTCTTATGCACAATACTGTCATGATCTAAAACAAATTTTCTTAGGGACAAATCGGTGTTAGTGTCCAATTTTGTGTTTATTGCGTGGAGATCATAATGGGGATGGTGAGAATGGTTGACATGTTGGCCCCTTCTTATGACTAGAGAATTTCCAATGCTTTCCGTGTACTAACTCACTTACATATATATATATATTTTTATAACAGTGCTAGTATTAGCCTCATTTTAAAATGAAGAAACAGGCACAGACAATTGAATCAATGACCCGAAGGCAGAGTCAGCAAGGGGTAGAGCCAGGACCAAATGTCAGCAACTGGTTTAAAACCCAGCTCCAGTGCTCTGTGCCCAGACAGCACTGGGCAAGTTACTTAACTTTTCTGGACGGGCATTTTCTTACCTGTCGAGTAGGGGCAATATCAATACCTACCTCCTGAAGTTTTTGTGAAGATTGAAAGAGAACTGATATGTAAAAGAGAGAGAGATGATATGATAAGTGCTTGAAATATGCCTGGCACATAGTAAATGCTCTATGTATTACAGACTAGAGTTGTCCTTTTTCAATGACAGATGAGTATGAAACATTAAAAATGTAGCAAATGAATGGAAGGACAAAAATGTATTTGAAGGCATTCTTTTCTCCCCAGCTTTCTGCTTTGACACTTCAATTCTGTCATATAGTTGAACAAAAATGAGTAGCTTCTGTAATAACCATCATTTAAACCTAAAACTAATTTTCTGTCTTTTGAACTTAGAGAATCCCTGGGTGGGGTCACGGTGTTTATATGGTCTCTACTGCTCTAAAAAGATCTAAGTCTATACTATGTAATATTGTAACCATTAGCCACACGTGACTTTTGAGCACTTGAAATATGGCTAGTGCTAATTAAAATATACAACAGATTTCAAAATTTAGTATGAAAAAAGAATGTAAACTATCTCAATAATTTTTATATTAATTATACATTGAAGTGGTAATATTTTAGATATATTGGGTTAAATAAAAGTTATTGTTAAAATTAAGCTGACTTTTTATATTTTTTATTGAATTTATTGGCGTGACATTGGTTAATAAAATTATATAGGTTTCAGATGTACAATTCTATAATATATTATCTTTTATTGTGTGTTCACCACCCCAAGTCAATGTATCTACTAGAAACATTTAAGTGACACAGGTAGCTTGCGTTGTGTTTCTGTTAGGACAGCAGAAATGGAAGCCTCCCTTGTCACTCTTGAGGATTTGCCTCCAGGGGCATTTACAAGTGGTTCTCGCCTCTTAGACCTCCAAGGGCATCTTACAGTGGAGAGACGCAGGTCATCAGGAGGCCTGCAAGCCAGGCCTGGCCCTGCCCCTGGCGTCCCAGGCGTCCTTGGGTGGTTCATGTAACTCCTCGAGCGGCACAATAAAAGAAGGCATGGTCCTCAAACTTTGGTCATATCAGAATCTCCCAGGGACTTGGTGAAAAACATGAAGACTTAGGCCTTTTACTCTTTCAACGACTGAGACTTTTTGGGTGATGTTGATGCTGTTCTGATCACCTCCTATTCACCTTCTTTAGGATAATTATTGTCTCAATCTCTAAAATTGTTATGAAGATCAAAGGGCATGCTACTCATCAAGCATTCATGTAAACGGGGCCTTGGTAGGTAGCAAGTCAGTTGCTATAAATGTCAGCTACTGTAGTTATTATTGGGGGCATTTAGTGAATGGTCCAGGTTGCCTTGTGGGTAAAATTAGGTGGTTAGAGTTGATTTCGGTACCCACTCTGATCCTAACAAACTTTGATTCTAATCCTGTTTATTAGCATCAGAGAGAAAGAGGAACTTGTAATTTGTGTTCACCCTTTAATTTTTCCCCCTTGGGCAATAGGGCAGTCTGTTGAGGTTTGTAGAACAGTTGGAAGTGAAAAGCTCAAAGTCTGGCTGAAACTAGAGGGCTGGTTTTGATTGATTTTACTCCAGGTCTGATCGGACACCAATAGCATGAACATCACCTGAACACAAATGTAGCTCTTAGTCCCCATCCTTGATCTTCTGATTTAGAATTTTTGACGGTGAGACATAGGCAGCTATATCTTCACAGGGTCTTCAGTCAATTCATGGACCATTACGCTTTGAGACGTATTGGTAGGAAGAACAGACTTTGTTTTTTACAAAAAATATTTTGTTTCCCTCTGGTTAAATCACACCTCCTTCAGATATCAGATATCAGGATGGTCCTTTCTCCCTGATTCGGGTCTCTGCTGAAATGTAAGAGCAGCCTTCCATGACTAAGACTTATTCTGTAGCAGCCCCCCCAATCCCTCTTGCTCTGCCTTACTGTTCTTCAAAGCATCTCTCACTGTCTTATTGGTTAATTATTATCCTTGTACCCCATTATAAAATCAACTCCATGAGGTCAAGGTCTTGGCCTGCTTTGAATTGAGAAGGAAATGATTCTTTTACTGTTATTTTTTATTTTTAGAGGTTATTTCAAACATTTACAGTTTGCACCTTAAATGCAAAATAACTGATAAAAAGAAAAACATTGAAAAACATACCATACAATACCCTTTGCTGCATAACAGAAATCATCCTTTGGTACTTGTTTTTAGGTAATTAGGGGGAAAAAACCTTAAAATTATTATTCCTCTCCAAAAGAAACAAAGTTGAGGTATGCTATTTACAAATGTGTGATCTCCATCAAAAAATGGTTTCTCTGTTAATTAACAGCCTTGCTACTTGCTGTTCCAATCCTTTCCTCCTAAAGCCAATCTTTGTCTGAGCCTTGAGCCTATGTTCCTAAAACTGGCAATGTTCAAAAACTATGGAACGCGCTCTGGCTGGTGTGGCTCAGTGGATTTAGCGCCAGCCTGCAAACTGAAAGGTCACCTGTTCAATTCCTGGTTGGGCACATGCGGGGTCCCAGGTAGGGACATCTGCGAGGCAGCCGATCAGTGTTTCTCTCCCACAGCATGTTTCTCCCCCTCTCTTTCTCCCTCCCTTCCCCTCTCTAAAAATAAAAAAATAAAATCTTTTAAAAAAATATGGAATGCTTCACAAGTTTGTGTGCCATTCCTGCACAGGGCTATGCTAATCTCCTCTGTATTGCTTCCGTTTTAGTACACGTGCTGCCGAAGTGAGCACGGAAGTGACTCTTGATGTGGCTGGTGCTCTGCCGACAGTCTCCCAGCCCCAGCCTCTCCCCCTCAGATCTCCTGTGTGCTGGGAGGGGAACCTGTTTCCATCTCAAAGGTCATCGTCTTACTTTCCCTTCCTCGGCTCCTTTGCTGCTTTCCTGCCGACCTGTGGATATCACTGGGACTTCCATGTGATCATGGTTTGAATCCTGCCTTCCTGCCATCTTTTTCTGCCTCTTGTTTGTCCTCACTTATGTTGCAGCACTGGTTCTCTCGCAGTTTTTCAGTGATTCAGCTTCTCTTTGGCTAAAAGGACTCAGTCACCCTCCAGGGAGCAGATCAAGCTGCCTTTATGTAGAATCCACTCCACTCGAGTGTGGGCCTTGAGGCCCAGACCTTGTGCTTCCAGAGGACCCCGGTCATTACTCTGCTATTTGGCATATGTAGTACAGGTATGACATTGGGTGACTGTATCACTTTTAATAAGGTTTCCGTAAGTGTTCAATGAATTAATAAACGTATTTAATGAAGAATTAATAAGTTAGCCTGGCCCTAGCCAGTGTGGCTCAGTGGGTTGGAGCATTGTTCCATAACCAAAAGGTTGCAGGTTCGATTCCCAGCCAGGACACAAACCTAGGTTGCAGTTCTATTCCCAGTCCAGGCACGGGCACCTGTGACCCCCAGTCTGGACACGTATGACCCCCAATATGGGCTTTGATTCCCGGTCTGGGTGTGTATCAGTGTTTCTGTCTCTCCCTTCCTCTCTCCCATTCTCTCTAAAAGCAGTGGAAAAAAAAATGTCCTCAGGAGAGGATAAAAAAAATTTAGCCTGTCTAGTGCTAATTATGCAGGCAATGAAATAGTTGTTCTTGATATTTTGATCGACCCATTCTGTGGATTTTGCAACAGGATTCCATGTAGGCATGTTTTAAAAATGGTATTTTTAAAAATCCAGAGGCTCTTTTCCTTTTAAAGATGATCTTGATCTTGCCCAAGGACAGCAAATGTGGTGAAAGACCCAGAGGAAAAACTTAGAAATAAAACCCCTGCTCTCCAAATCCTCCCAACTGGGATCAGCCTCAGATTTTACAACTCAGAGACCTTAGATCAGTTAATCTGGTCTCCCCACGTGCCTCTGCCTAATGGCAGGTTCGTGCCTTAGGACACTGCTTAGTGTCTGCCGGGTGATCACTATGTTACAGGTACTGTGTCAGGTGCTAGGGACATGAGGCTGAGGAACCAGTCACAAGGGAGATAGTTGATTTACTAATTATCCCCTTTCCCTCAGAGGTGATGGAAAGCTCTCCCAGGAAATCACTCTTACTGAGAGAAGTCGCTGGGCAAATAATAGAGCCAGAACAAAGTGAGTGCCAAATTCCACAGGATATTTCTTCCAAGATTGGAAAGTTTTATGTTGCCCTTTTCCATACTAGGGTTCTTCTATCTGAAGTCAGATGAGTAATAATAAATAAATAATGAAACAATAATGAACTAATGATAATCTCTGAACCTGGGCATTTTGCTCTCGATTTCCCCCCTTCCCCTCCCCCCGCCCCCGCCCCCATCCCATCAGACTTTTATCCTGAGAGCTACAGGGAGAAGGCTCTCAGGGCCTCTGCGTGTGGTTGGGTGGGGCGTTCACTGTGCAGGGGCTCTGGGAGAAAGGGGGGGTATCTGGGCTCCAGCCCGCTTCTGCTTGGCAACCTGTGTGTGTGGCTGCGGCCCCCGGTGAGGGATTCCTGGACTGTTTCACGTAAGGCAGCCAGATGGATGGCTTCTAGTGAACGTTTACGCTGCCAGGCACTGTTCCAAATGTTTTATGTGTAGTCACTTAGACTGACTAACCTTCCTATGCAGTTGTCTGCGGTGGTGGTTATTACTGTTATTTTCCCCAACATACAGGTTGGACGTTGAAGCACAGAGCACTAGCAGGTTGGAGATGCCAGTATTCAAAGACCAGTGGTCTCATTGCAGAGCCTACGCTCTTCACAACTCCTTTCTCTTCTCCTTCAAGTGGCTTCGGCTTCAAGTCCTCTCCCTGCTTCTGTCTCTGCTTTACCCGTATCTCCCAATCCCTCCTTTCTTTTCCACGAGCCCTTAAACTCTGATCTGCTTATGTTTGTCTTTAGAAGCAACTGAGAGACAAGATCTAGAATAGCGACCCTGCTGTGAGAGACCCCGCTGTGACAGCGGGATTCTGGCTCCGGACCTCGCCAAGCCTCGGCTTCCTCATCTGTGAAATGGGAACAGCAGCCCTCACCATCATTTATTGAGAACGTCCTAAAATGCCAGGTACTGTGCCAAGGGCATCGCATGAATTAGCTCATTTATTCCCCACAATAATCCTGTGACCAACATTCTGTTTTTATCTCCTCGTCACAGCTGAGGATAGGCACAGAGGTGTAGGTGATCGAACCAAAGTCACACAGCTGGTTCAACAGTAGCTTCTTCACAGGTATGTGGGAGGTACCTTAATGAAACAATGCCAACTCTTCACAAGGTCCCTAACATGTCCTTAGTCCTTATTTCATGTTAAACATTGCCATGTTTGTTTCTTTGGGTTTTTTTTTTTTTTTTTTTTTTTTACCATTACTATGATTGCTATAGCTTTTTCATTTAAATGGCATCCTGACTGACTAGCTTATGGTTAAATAAATCCTGCGGAGTCACAGATTTTTCATTTCTCCTCATCTCCATTATAGTCTTTTTAAGACTCTACTTTTAAAGTAAATATGGCAAGGACTTAATAACTTTTTAAAAATGGTCATCCATGTAGTCAGATTCATAGAGAAAGAACAGTGCTTAGCAGGGGCTAAGGGGAGCAGGGCTGGAGAGTTGTTGTTTAATGGGGACAGAGTTTTAGTTTGGGATGGTGAAAATTTTCTGGCGACAGATAGTGGTGATGGTTGCACAACAATATGAATACACTTAATGGTTAAAATGGTAAATTTTCTTATGTATGTTTTATACAGAAAAATTGTCTATGTACTCTTAGATATTATTGCAAAGGCATCAAATTAAGTACGAAAAGACAGAGAGAATAACACATTTCAGAGGTTAAAGGTGATTTTCATACGATAGGGCAAAAACCTCTGAAAGCTCCATTGACAGGAACCATTTATCAGGACTGGTTTTATGTTCGTGAATATTACTTGCTTTTCTGCTGCTGCTAATGAGGTACACTGGAAGTGTTCTTTGACCTTTCTGCCTACTCACTTTATTCTTACAACAATCCTGCGAGCTGGGTGTTGTTAATCCCTCCATTTTACAGGTGAAACAGTTAAGGCATGAAGCCATTAGTAATTTGCCCAAGATTTCACAGCTAATACGTAGCTGTGTCAGTTGGCCCTAGGGTTTGCTCTCTTAATCTGGGTACTTGACTCTCCATGTGCCCTCTCCCCAGGCTCAGATTCTGTACCCTGAGAACTATGTGAACTTGTATTGGGGCCACCATATGCGATAGGTCGGGCTGTTCACTGCACAGGGGCTGTTGGCTGAAGGAGTGAGCAGGGTCTGGAACCCAGTCCCTGCTGTGCTCCTCAAGCCCCCCCCTACCCGCCCCCGCCGCCAGGGAAGGGGCACCGTTGCTTTTTCACATAAGGCAGCCACTTGGGTTAGTGACATCCTTGGCCAGAATCTAATGGCTTTTTTTCTCCTTCCCCCTGTACCTTCCCAAGACTCAGCCCTTTCCCAAAAGAAGGAGGACGAAATGACCAAGTTCAAGGTGAGTTGGACTTGCCTGTCTAGGTTTTAAATTGTCATCTCATTTCTCCATGATTAGACACATCCTATTTCTTTCTGTGGGGAAGGATTAAAGAGAGCAGTAGGCATGTGGGACCCTCTCATGTGTCAGATGATCACTATTTTTTTATTTTAGCGTAGTTTAAGTTTTGTAATTTCACAAGTAAGAGTGGAGAAGAAAAAGTTTATTGCAGTGAAAAATAAATCTACTTTACTACTGTTTTCCTTACAAAACATGTTTTCATTTTCCCATGTTCTTTTCCTCACATGCATTGCTAACTCTATATTTGTAATTATTGTATCATTTAAATTCTCAAATTATGCCTTTTCTAATTAATATTATATACCCTACGTTTTTAATGGCAACATGTATTCCCTTGGTTTGATGTACTCTCTATGTGTCTCTCATAATATTTTCCCAGTCGTGGACATTTAGGTAGTTTAGAATTTTTACTGTTTTAATGAACATTGTAATAACACTTTTCCTAATATAACCATTTTCCTTAAAAGGAAATTTGGAAGACTTTGCCATTCGTTGTTCTTAATGTTTAGGAACTCCAAAATGAAAAAGTATATTTGATATTCGGAAACTTGGGTATTTTGTGTTTAGAATATTTCAGTATGGCATGGTGCAACAGGCTCTAACCGATACTTCACACAGAGAAAATATTATTAGGCATCTTTTTTTCTTTAAATTTTGTTTAAAAAATCAAAGTTATTAATGCACACAGTTTAAAGAGTCAAGTAAAGGTAGTTTTATAAAGCTCGTATGAGAAGACACAGCTCCTTTTCCATATCCTTCCCAGCTGCCCCTTCCCCTGGCAACCACTCTCAACTCCTTTAGCTGATTCTTTTGGTATGGAAGGAAACCAGGATGTCACCCCAAAATATGCCTCTTTGACATAAAAGTTATTTTGAGCTGAAGATAGTTAAGAAGCAGCAAAGGCAGGAAAAGCTTTCCCTACCCTTCTCCCTTTTGGGTCTAAACGCAGAATATAAACTCTCCGTTTCTTGAGATAGATTCTTATCTTCCCAGCCATACGCCAGAGGAATCTGCAAGCAAACCTTACTCTATAAGTTCCCTCCAATATATTTACCTTCCAATAGTTTGCCGTCTTTGGAAGCCAAAAACTGATTTCCTTAGCCTTGTTATCATCTCTCTACAAATTTGCTCTTTGTTGATGCTATATAAGCCAGAGTTCTAAACTGCTGCTTTGAGTTATTTTTCATTGAGGTTTCTCCCACATGATGTGTGCTGCATGTATTAATAAACTTGTTTTCTCTTGTTAATTGGTCCAGCTGAAAACCTAAGATGGGTAAAGTTTTGCCTCCCCTGTAGTATTTGCTTCCATGCTAGGCATTGTTTGCATTTTTACAATGAGTATGCATCGCTTTGTTATTCTTACATGGTCTACAGTTAGAATCCTTGCCAGGTTTATCACCGGGCCCCCAGGCATTGCAGAGTGCCCCCCAGGCATTGCAGAGTGCCCCAGTGGTCTTGGGGTAGAGGCCGCCAGCACCTCCAGTGCTTGCTCCTGGCGGTTGCCATGGACCAGCAACGTCTCCATGATCCAGTCCTGCTGGAAGCCCATGTCACTGAACTGGTCCCAGAGGCACAGGAACCCCCGGGTCTGGCTAACAGAGAACTGGAGCATCTCCATGGCCTCTTCCACCAGGCTCTCCTTGTAGCCCTGCCAAAGCAGCCAGTCACAGGTGCTAACGTAGCTAAGAAACTGGCTTAGGCTCTGCTGCCCCATTTTTACTGCAGAGCCAAGATGGCCCTATACAGGGTGAGCACCAGCCCGATTCTTGCTCCTCCTGGCTAAGGGCGGACAGCAGGTCAGCAGAGTCAGGGTGGAATCTGTGGGTGATGAAAAGCTGCGGCTCCTGCCCGAGAGGTGGCAGGCAGGTGTATGGACCGAGGGACATGACCATGGGTTTGTGACTCAATGGGGCAGAGCAGGAGCCCAGGGCCCTGGGGCGGTTCAGGCCAGCAGAGGCTGGGCACCCTTCGCTGGCAGATATGCCGCTGCAGGAGGGCATAGGGCAGCGGCCATCCTGCCCTCACAGAACCTTCTCCCACACACCCGGTGCCTCCAACTTACGCACCTTAATAGCTGTTTTCATGTAAGAACGCTAGGTGGTTCCTGAGTCATAGCATGCCTTTTTATTTACTGATTTATATTTTTATTTATGCATTTATTTTATCAAGGTAATAATGTACTTAATTTAAAAAGCCCAGTAGTATCAGAAGACTTGCTAAATACTTCACTTACTGCATTTAATCTCAGACCAACCTTGTGAGGCAGTACTTGGTCTCATCTGTACTTTTTCTTTTCACAAAGAAACAGGATTGTAGAATTTTAGAAAACTGCTTAAGTTCACCCAGGAAACCAAAGATCTACCTGATGCAGAAAGACCCCTAGATTTACAATATTTGGGTAGAGATAAACAAGGGGAAAGAATCCTCCGGTCTGGGACTTAGCCCTCCATGTGGTACCTGGTTATCCTGACAGGTAGAAGACGCCACAAATAACACTGCCTCTGCTGGCCACTCTTCCACGGCCCCATCTTCTCTGGGAACTCTGTTGCACTGGATGTGCAGCAGTCCCAAGTCAAGCACAGCTTTCATAGCAAAAGTTAAGACAATACTGCATACCAGTGATTCTTCATCATGGGCAGTTTTGACTCCAGGCAACATCCGAAAATGTTTTTGGTGTCACAGCTTGAGGGATGCTACTGGTATCTAGTGCACAGAAGGTAGGGATTCTGCTAAGTCATCTACAATGCACAGGACAGCCCCCGCAATGAAGAATTATCTGGCCCAAAATGTCAGTAGTGGAAAGAATGAAAAATCATGCTGTATGCAAAGCTATACAAGACTAATAGTAAAATGTGACTGAAAATATTTATAATATATATGCTAGAGAAACAAAACTTAAAATTTCTAATAGAAATTTTACAGTCATAAGATTAAGAAAAAAACAATTGGAGTATGAGCGAAGAACGTTAACAGACTAAAGAAAAGGTAAAGATGGGCAGTAAACCTATGAAAATTAATTAATTTAATTAAATTAGCTTATTAATTACCAAATAAGTGCAAATAACCAAAATAACTTGTTTTTTACTGATCAGATTACCCAGGATTTAAAAACTGGTTGTATTCAGTGCTGTGTATGGAATGGTATGGAGAATCAGGAATGCTTATATTCTGTTGAGGGCAGGATAAAATAGGGAAAAAGTTGAAAAGAAAGGCTGCCATTGTATGTGATAATTATGAAGTCACATTCTTTCACATTGTAATTTCACTTCTTGAAACTTATCCAAAGAAAATAATTAGGGAGCTAATATCCATATGAAAAGTTTTTTCCAGCATTTATTATAAAAAGAAAAAAATCTACAACATAATATATATTATTTGGGATGTTTAACTATATTATGGTAACAGTGACTCTGGTCTCTGAGACTCTGGAACCACTTCGTACACATTCTTTATACTTTCTCAGTGCTGCCTTCTCCCAGCGGAGGCTGGTGGTGAGGTTGAGGTTGCTTGTGTTTGGTGTTATAGGAGGCGGTGACATTCAAGGACGTGGCTGTGGTCTTCACAGAGGAGGAACTGGGGCTGCTGGACCCGTCCCAGAGGAAGCTGTACCGAGACGTGATGCTGGAGAACTTCCGGAACCTGGTCTCAGTGGGTGAGGTCAGGTGCTCTGAGACTGAACTTCAGTACCCTGCAGTGTTTGTCATGTCCTTGGATGTGCAGGACTTTAGAGCTCTTCAACTGGTTTCCTGTTTTCTTTCTTTTTTATATATATATTTTTAAGATTTTATTTTTTTATGTTTAGAGAGAGGGGAGGGAAGGGAGAAAGAGAAGGAGAAAAACAGTGTGGGGTTGCTTCTCGTGTTCCCCCTACTGGGAACCTGGCCTGCAACCCAGGCCGGTGCCCTGACTAGGAATCGAACTAGCGACCCTTTGGTTCGCAGACCGGCACTCAATCCACTGAGCCGCACCAGCCGGGGTGGGTTTCCTGTTTTCTAAGCAGCATGCCACGCGGCCATGGCATTTTTCTGGTCTTCCTCCCCCAGCTAAAGTGTGTTTTGTAAATTAACTATCAGTTGGCAGTGTGACTCTTACATGTTTCTGGACTTTCTCAAACTGTGACCATCTCCAGTTAGTGGGTCATGACACCCATTAGGAAACTGTGCCAACATTTTTTAAGGAAATAAAATAGGGGAGAAAGTGTCAGAGCCCCTGTGAGAAATGCTGGAGAGGCTGTGATGACAACAGACTTTTTAAAAACATTTTAACATTTTTATTGAGATATAATATATACACATGCTTTACCGTATAATACAATTCACCCATTCAGAGTATACAATTCCATACTTCTTAGTCTATTACCAAAAGGACATTTGCCCCAGTAATGTATACTTACATCTACATAATCTGGGGATTTTGCATAAAATGTATCTCCTCCGGTGGGTCATAATTAACCATTTGGAAAACACTAATTTTGATGTTCTGAAGGTGATGCAGTGAGACATCACATTTTTTTTAGTGAGTTTGGCCTTTAATGTATTAATTTTAAATGTTTGTCCTTGCCTGTTCCCAGAGCATCAGTCCTTCCCAGCGGATGTAATCCCCCAGTTAGAGAGAGAAGGAAAGGTTTGGCCAGTAAGGACAGCATCCCACCGCCGAAGCTCCGCAGGTGAGAGCCATACGACTCAGTCCGCCCTGCTGCTTGTCCTCTCCACCGCCACAATGCTGGTCTAAGTCCCTTGTCACCTCCACCCCTGTGACACTGGTCCGAGTCCCTTGTCACCTCCACCGCCGCGACGCAGGTCTGTCAGCACCGAGTCTGTGGGTTACTGCCGCAGTCTTGGTGTCACTCTCACTCTTCCGTCCTGCTCTTTTGCAATCAGTTCTCCACTCCAAGTGATTCATGTGAATGTCAGGTTTTGTCAGTCTTCTGCTCAAAACCTCTACTAGCTTCTTATTGGATTCAGAGTACCATCCCAGTGCTTAAGGTGGCATATAGCATTCCACGTGGCTGCTGCTCCCTCTCCCCCATCCCTCTATAAGTGTGACCTGTCACTTTCCCCTTCATTAGTCTATTCCATCTAGTTTTGCCTCTTTGCCCTGCCAGGCATGCTTTTGCCTCATAACCCTGCACTTGTTCTTCCTGTTAGGAGCATTGTTTGCCTCTGTCATTCTCTCGGCCTCTCCTTTACTTAACGAGGGCTTGTCTCAAATGTTAATCTCATTAGAACAGTCACCCATGACCCCTCTGTTCATAATACCTTCTTCCTCCACTCCCTTCCCTTATCTTGCCTTAGTTGATGTGTAAGCATTGCTCACCACTTAGCCATATTAACGTGTGTGTGTGTGTGTGTGTGTTTTACTATATTCCCACTGGAGTATAACCTCAGGAAAAGAAAAATTCTGTCTGTTTTTTTAAATTGCTATATCCTTAGTATATAGAACAGACTTGGAAGAAGGCAGGTGTGCTGTAAATATTTATTGAATGAATGATGGTTACATGGACCTTTTTCCACTAGTCTCTGAGATCCTTAAAGTATGGTAAAAAAAAAAAGTGTGATGAAGGCATCATCTAGAATAGTTTATCTCCCCAAGGAGTCTCTATATTAGTTAGGTGTTTTTGGATTTATGTAGTTATGTTTCCATTAAACCACACCTAATAAGAGCTTAGCTTTTCACTTTTAACCAAATTATCATCACCCCCCTGCCCCGCCCCCATGACTTTCCTGTAGCCTTTAGTACTGAATCATACTGTCTTGGTAAAGAACTGCCTTTTAGAATGAAGGTTCTTAATAGATACTTTATACAGAGAGAACTTTACTGCTTACAAAGCACCTCTGATAATTTTTTTATTTTGTTAATACTTGTCAAAAGCTACTAAATTCACCCTGGCTGGGTGGCTGAGTTGGTTAGGGTGTCATCCTGTCAAAAGGTTGTGCGTTCGATCCCTGGTCAGGGCACGTACCTGGGTTGTGGGGTGTGTATGGGAGGCAGCCGATCAAGGTTTCTCTCACATGTTTATCTATGTGTGTGTCTCTCTCTCCCCACACCCTTTACTCCCTCTCTTTTTTTCTCCCTCTCTCCCCACCCGTTCATTTCCTGTCTCTCTAAAATCAATAAACATATCCTTGGGTAAGGATTTTTTTTTAAAGCTACTAAACTCATTTTAAACTCACTAAATCCTGTCTTCAGCTTGAAAAACATTGGTGTGGTCCATATAGGAAAATAAATCTACAGCCATCATTTTGACGGCTGTAGATTTATTACAGCCATCATTACTCTACTTTCATAGGCATTACTCCTGGGGCCCTAAATATTGACTCCTACTTGAAAAAGGAAAAATTTTACACACACAGAAAGGAAGTACAAAAGAATTACTGAAGCTAACAGTCCATAGGCCCTGTGGCCACTTTATACCTTATGCTTTTTTTCCTCTCCCAAGTGATTCTTGAGTTTGTGATCAGCATGACTTTCTCATCAGCAACAGCCACTTAGTTCAGTCCTGTATCTGGTGAAGCTGTACAACCTTCCACCAAAATTGCTGTCTTCAGTCCCCTTCCTATTATGGTAACTTTGAAAAGGCTCTTTAACTTTTGTAATACAGCTCAGACTCACAAAGAAGTTAAAACTGGGATTTATATACCCATTCAACATTTATTTATTTATTTTTAAAGATTTTATTTTTTATTTTTAGAGAGAGGAGAAAGAGAGGGAGAGAAACATCAGTGTATCAGAGAAACATCGATTGGTTGCCTCTCACAACCGGGCCCACAAGCCATGCATATGGTTTGGTGGGCAATCGAGTCAGCGACCTTTTGGTTTGCAGACTGGCGCTCAGTCCACTGAGTCACACCAGCCAGGGCTCAACATGTATTTACTGAACACTGTGTTGGGCAGTGTTCTGGGAGTGGTAAGAAACCAGTGAACAATATAAAATTCTCATCCTCTTGGATATTGCATTCAAATGGGGGAAAAATATAAAGAACAGAGGTAGTATGGCAGATGGTAATATGTGTTGTTTACAAACAAAGAAGGGAAAGGTGAATGGAGATTGCCAGGGGCGGCTAGTGGATAGAGAGACTTCACTATTTGCTGTTGGGTGATAAAAGGCCTCACTGATACGGTGTTATTTGAAGAGAGACCTGAAAAGAAATTAGTAGCAAGCTGCCTGGCTAATTGGTAGAGCAGAGTTCCAAGAAGAACAGAAATCTTCTGTCCAGTATTGACTTTGAGAATCTATTCTGTGTCCTATTTATTGTATTTCATAATAGATTAGCTTCTAATCTTTTACCATTTTTCCCTCTTCAAGTTATAGGAACTTTACTTGCTATTACCTGCTCTAAGGTTTAAGTGTAACTCATGTTATTACTGTAAACCTTTATGGCCCACTCGCCCCACCTGTTGTCCTCCTGAAGGATATTTCTCAGGTGGAGGTGAAGGTAATAAAGTATTTTCTCCCAAACATGTCTTTCCAACCAGCCTGTTGCTTCTGTGGCTCCTAACATTGGAGTAAACTTCCAATAAAATAATTCAAAGCAAAGGTTTTCAACATTGCCTGAGGACATCTGATAATCTCTCTATAAGGGTTTTACTAGACATTTTGAGCATTTTGATCAGATGTGCATGCAGTAGGCAGAAGAGGAGGCTTTTAATAAGGTATAGCTTCGTCTTTGTAAAAATTCTCTAGGAAGTAATTTTTCTTTTTATCCAAAACAGATTTGTAAAAACTGTATTTATTACACTGTGTATAAACCTTTTGTACTAAATAAAGTGCAAGCTACATTCTTCTCAAAGATGTTTCTAGTATTTCTGAGACCTCCTCAAAATGTGCTATGTGCAGTGAAACCATTTTGAAAAAGCAGTGACTTAAGTCAACCCTAATGGATTAGTAAAATATTTCTCAGTTTTTATTTAAAAATCATAGGGTTCTGCTTTTGTATAATGTTTGTACATTTAGCAGTGTAAAATGCTGACACATTTTAAAAAACAAATGAAGTATAAATTCAGAATCCTTTTGATTCAATGCTCTTATGTTTTTTAAAAAGAAAGAAATAATGCAAGATTCAGAATTTTGGTGTGGTTGGCGTGCCTCACTTCATTGTACTTTTTGACCTGCTGCCCATGTGCTGCTGCTGATCTGGCTCAACTGTTTTTGCTGCCATAGCCATTTGATGCTGCAAGATTCACAGCTGCATCTGTCTGGGATATATGAAACTTCCTACTGCAGCAAGATTAGTAACAACAGCATGCTGAGCAGATAAGGCCTGTGCTTGACTGGTTGAGCCTTGTTCAGAATCCTGTTCCCCTAGCTGTTGAGGATTCCAAGCTGTGGATTGCTGAGGTTGTTGGGTTGTCTAAGAAGGATATTTCTTGCTCTGCAGCCACCACATTTCTAACTTGTACCTTACTTACGAAACTTAGTACAATTCTAAATGGGTCTTGTTAATGAGTTGTGGATGGGAGCCTGGTGGATCATCTCTTGATTTTTGGAGTCATGCAAATCAGAGAATATGATGCATGATGATAAAAATGGGACTTTCTTCTGGTTCAATAAAGCTTTAGGATGTAAGCCTATGTTTATAACCTTGACATTTCTGAACAAAGCATTCACCTGCCCATCTCCAAATTCTCTTTATTCTTTTAGGAGACGAGAATCTAAATAACATGGAAATTATTCAGGAAGTTGGATTAAGGTACCTGCCACTTGAAGAGTTTTTCTACTCACAAATCTGGCAACAGGTTACCAAGGATTTAACGAGATGTCAAGATGCCATAGTAAATATTGAAGGAACTGGCTCTCAGTTGGACAAAGAAGGTGATGCACTTTATAAATATGAGGAAATTGGTAAAGGCTCTAATCAGAGTTCACATCTTCAGGTTCACCACACAGTCCACACTGAAGAAAGATCCTACAAAGGCGAGGAATGTGAGAAAGGTTTTATTCACGACCCTTGTCATCAAATTAATAAGACATCCCATGCAGGAGAGAAGCCCTATAAATGTGAAAAGTGTGAAAATGCCTTCCGTCGGTTTTCAAGTCTTCAAGCCCATCAGAGAATCCACAGTAGAGAGAAATTGTACAAATGTGATACATCATCTAAGAATTTTAGTCAGAAGTTATGTCTTCATCATCATCATCACAGAGTTCCTATAGGAGAAAATCTACACAGATTTGAGGAGTATGGGAGAAATGTTGGGAAAAGTTCACATTGTCAAACTTCTCTGATAACCCACATGTTAGAAAAACCCTATAAATGTGAAGAGTGCGGGGTGGGCTTCAGTCAGAGCTCATATCTTCAAGTCCATCAGAAAGTTCATATGGGAAAGAAACCTTATAAATGTGAAGAGTGTGGGAAGGGCTTCAGTTGGCGTTCACGACTACAGGCTCATCAGCGAATCCATACTGGCGAGAAACCGTACAAATGTGATGCATGTGGCAAGGGCTTTAGTTATAGCTCACACCTTAACATTCATTGTAGAATCCACACGGGAGAGAAACCCTATAAATGTGAGGAGTGTGGGAAAGGCTTCAGTGTGGGTTCACACCTTCAAGCCCATCAAATAAGCCACACTGGAGAGAAACCATACAAGTGTGAGGAGTGTGGGAAGGGCTTCTGTCGGGCCTCAAATCTTCTAGACCATCAGAGAGGCCATACTGGGGAGAAACCCTATCAGTGTGATGCATGTGGGAAAGGCTTCAGTCGCAGCTCAGATTTTAACATTCATTTTAGAGTCCACACAGGAGAGAAACCCTATAAATGTGAGGAGTGTGGGAAGGGTTTCAGTCAGGCTTCAAATCTTCTGGCTCATCAGAGAGGCCACACTGGAGAAAAACCATACAAATGTGGTACATGTGGGAAGGGCTTCAGTCGAAGTTCAGACCTGAATGTTCATTGTAGAATCCACACAGGAGAGAAACCCTATAAGTGTGAGAAGTGTGGGAAGGCCTTCAGTCAGTTCTCAAGTCTTCAAGTGCATCAAAGAGTCCACACGGGAGAGAAACCATATCAGTGTGCAGAGTGTGGGAAGGGCTTCAGTGTGGGTTCACAGCTTCAGGCCCATCAGAGGTGCCATACTGGAGAGAAACCATACCAGTGTGAAGAATGTGGGAAGGGCTTCTGTCGGGCCTCAAATTTCCTGGCTCATCGTGGAGTCCACACTGGAGAGAAACCATACCGATGTGATGTGTGTGGTAAACGCTTCAGACAGAGATCATATCTTCGAGCACACCAGAGGGTCCATACTGGAGAGAAGCCATATAAATGTGAGGAATGTGGTAAGGTCTTCAGTTGGAGCTCATACCTTCAAGCCCATCAGAGAGTTCACACTGGAGAAAAACCATACAAATGTGAGGAGTGTGGGAAGGGCTTCAGTTGGAGCTCAAGTCTTATAATTCATCAGCGAGTCCATGCTGATGATGAGGGTGATAAGGACTTTCCCTTATCAGAGAATTCATACAGGAAAGAAGCTTGATAACTTACATGTTTTAATACCTCAAAATGGGTGCTGAAATAGTCCAATTATCAGACCTGTTATAGAAGACAAAATGTTTAATGAAAGAGTCAGTATTTCAGCCAGAGCCCAACATGTCACAGTCATCGGGTGACCACACAGCAGAGCAGCCTCATAAGAGTGGAGATAGGACTTCATGCAGGACCTTGACATTTAGTGGGTATTACACAGAAGATAGGCTTAGGAAGGATAAGTCTGATTAAAATTAACCAACAGTACTAAGAGGGAAAAAACAAATCTATTTCCCTAGAATGTGTGAAAAAGGTAGTGACTTTGTTGACTGCCAAATATCCTCAGCCTTTTTTCAGTGCCTAACGCATTGTAAGTGTTCATTAATTGTTAAATGAGTGAAAGAGAACAGCCATGTTTGAAATTTTTATTCAGTTCTTCTCTAAATATTTCTATAAAATTGTACTTAGAAGAGGAATTCTATAAGGCTTGGAGGTCATTTGTATTAAAGACATGGGTGCATTTTACCAACCTGCAGGTCCTGTGAAGTAGTGCTTTATCACACTGAAGGTTGCAACATGTTTAGAGTGTCCAAAAATCCATTCAGGGTGTTGTGACCAGCACTTTTGTATGCTAACAATTGAAGTATAATTTGTATGCAGTACATGCATAAATCTCAAGTTTACAGATTCATGACTTTTGACAAAGGGGTACACTTGTGTAACCACCAAAACCAATATGTACAGTATTTCTATTAAACCAGAGTATTTCCTTGTGTACATTTCCAGTCAATCTGATCTCTAGTGGCAACAAGTGTTATGATTTCTATCTCATAGATTAGTTAGGTCTGTCCTTGAGCTTCATATGAGCTCAATATGTACTCTTGGGTTCATTATGTATTCTTTTGTGTCTGGATTCTTTTGATCAAATATATGATCATCTCAGACTCAGAGAAAGCATTTGACAAAAACATTTCTTCACAATAAAAAGTCTTCAGTGAGGTCAAAGGCATCTATGAAAATCTTACAAGCTAACATTCAGTAAAAAAGAATCTTCAATATATCATTTTGTGTTTTGACAAAAGCTTATTGTCATATTATTACCACAACAATCAAGAACACCCCACCCAAAAATTCCTTTGTACTCTTGTAGTCAATTCTTCCCATTGCACCCTCAACATCCTTAGCAACCACTGACCTGTTTTCTGTTTGTATAGTTTACCTTTTTTAGAATGTCATATAAATGGAGTCATACTCCATGTAACAGTTGAATCTGGCTTCTTTCATTTAACAATCCTGAGATTCATCAGTCTTGATGTATGTTATCAGTAGTCATTCTTTTTATTGCTGAGTGGTATTCTATTATGTGGATGTACCACATTTTATCCATTTATGACTTCAAGGATATTTGGGTTTCCAGTTTTTAGTGATTATGAAGAAAACAAATATTTACATACAAGTTTGTGCGTCAACATAAGTTTTATTTGTCTTAGTAAATACTTAACAGTGGGGTTGCTGGGTTGTATCCTAAGAGTATGTTTAACTTTATGAAAAACTGACAAACTTTCCTAGAATGGGCCTAACCATTTTGCATTCTCACCATCATTGCATATCAGAATTTTGATTCTGTGTTTAGCATTTCAACAGGTTTATACTGGCATGTCATTTTTGTTTTAAGTTATATTTTTCACATTACTATGATGCCTTTCTTTATATATGAATGTTTACTATCCATATACCCTATTTTCTTTTGTGAACTCTTGTTCTTGATTTTTTAAGAATTCTTTATATGTTCTGGATACATGTTCTTTGTCAGTTATGTGTTTGTAAATATTTTATCCCTGTATGTGAGTTGTGTTTTTGTTCCATTAATTATTTTTCACAGATGGAGTTTTTAAAAATTTTGGATAAAGTTTAATTTTTATCTTCCATGGATTGTATTTTTGGTTTCACATATAAGAACTCTTCCTAATCGAAAGTCACATTTTTCTCCTTTTTTAAAAAATTAAATTCATTGGGGTGGCATTGGTTAATAAGAAAAGTTTGTCTCTTTTTTAGCTAAAAATTCTATGGCTTCAGATTTTACATTTAGGGCTATGATCCATGTGAGTTCTTCTTTATAAAGTGTGAGGTCAAGGTCCATTTCTTTTTGCATATGAACATCCAATTAAGTATCCTTTTAACATTGAATTGCTATTTGTTACACTTCTGTAAAAAATTGATTGACCATATCTGTGTGGGTCTTTTTGTCCTCTACCTGCTTCCATTGATCCATATGTCTGTTATTTTGCATATGTATCTTAATGTAGTAAGTCTTGAAAAAGAGAGTATAAGTCTGCCAACTACATCTTTTTCAAAATCATTTTAGCTACTCTACGTGGTCTGTAGTTGTCCACAGGATGCTCAGGCTCTGGGGTTTCCTGGGTTATGCAGGTCAAGGTCAGCCCCCACCTGTGTTTTTCTCCAGGCCACCCTGCCTGAGCTATAAAGCAATCTGAGATGGCTGCTACTTGTGCTGGGCTTGGAGATTCCCAGGCGAAGCCAAGCTGAATCTAGGCTGGTTGCCACTAGTGCCATGCCAGGGGCCTCTTAGCAAGAGTTATGGAGGTCTAGGGACTCCCTGAGGCTGGCTCTTGCTTGTTTGAGAGGATTTAGAAAGCTGTGAAGTATGAGCCAAGACCAGCCATTCATATGGAAAAGTAACAGGTTGGCCCATAAGTTGGGTGGGAGGTAAGTTGGGTTGAACAGATTCTGTGGGGAATCTTCAGGGCAGGGCAAACAGTGTTAGCCAGGTTGATGGAGTCTCAGATATGGCACCAGCCTACCCACTCTGTGGGGTAACATTCAGAAAAGGGACCACGACCCATCTTTCTGTCTAGGAGAAGGCTGCCTCCCAGCTCTTACCTTGATACCACACAATTCACTTTTCTCCCTGGTGCCTTTCAAGCTGCTACTCTAATGCTGGAGCTTAGAGGGAGTGAGTCTGAGTAAGTTCGTATGTGGGTTCTTTAAGAGGGACTACTTGGGATTCCAGAAGTTTCTTCCACCGACTCAATCCCTATTGGTTTTTGCAGCCAGAAGTTATTGGGGCTTATCTTCCTAGCACTGGAACACTATATTTGGAGGCCTGGTATGGGGCTGGGACTCCTCACTCCCAAGATATCCCTTCTGAATTTTTATCCACCATTCATGGATGTGGGACCACCCCATTACACATCTCCATCCCTCCTTCCAGCTGGAATGGGTGAGGTTTCTTTAATTCTGTAGTTGTCACACTTCAACTTAATTTCTGATGGCTCTGGGTGATGGCTGATCTATATTTTAATTGTAATTTTGATGTTGTGTGAGGAGGCAAGCTGTGTTTACCTATGCTGCCATCTTGACCGATAGTTCAGGCATTTTTCATATACCTTTTAGTCATTTATGTGTCTTCCTTGGAGAAGTATCTATTCAAATATTCAACTCATTTTTAAAACTGGGATATTAGCCCTGGCTGGTGTGGCTCAGTTGGCTTGAGCGCCGGCCTGCAAACCAAAGGGTTGCTGGTTCAATTCTCAGTGTAGGGCACATGCCTGGATTGCAGGCCAGGTCCCCAGTGGGGAGTGTGCGAGAGGCAACCACACATTGATGTTTCTCTCCCTCTTTTTCTCCCTCCCCTCCCCTATCTAAAAATAGTTTTTTTTAAAGGATTTTATAATTAAAAAATGGGGTTATTAGATTTTTTATTATTGAGTTGTTGCAGTTTCTTATATATTTTGGAGATTAACCCTTTATCAGATATGATTGGAAAGTGTTTTATCCCATTCTGTGGGGTTGCCTTTTCACTCTGTTGATTGCTTTCTTTGCTGTGCAGAAACTTTTTAGTTTGATATAGTCCCACTTGTTTATTTTTTTTTTTGTTCCATGGGTTTTTGGTGTCTTATTCATAAAATTATTGCCAAGACCAATGTCAAGAATATTTTTCTTCTACCTTTCTAAGAATTTTACAATTCCAAGTCTTAGAGTTAAGACTTAACCAATTTTGAGTTGATTTTTGTGTATGGTGTAGGATCAGGGTCCAATTTCATGTGGATTTCTAGTTTTCTCAAAACCATTTCTTGAAGACATTATCCTTCCCCCATTATGTGAACTTTGTTGGTGCCCTTGTTGAAGATCAGTTGATCACATATGCATGAATTTATTTCTTGGCTTTCTATTCTATTACATTGGTCTATGTATCTGTTTTTATTTCAGTACCATACTGTTTTTGATTTATTATAGCTTTGTAACATTGTTTGAAAACAGGAAATGTGATGCCTCCAGTTTTCTTATTTCTCATGATTGCTTTGGCGATATAGGGTCTTTTTTGGTTCCATATGAATTTTTTAGATTGTCTTTTTTGAAATTTTGATAGGAATTACATTGAACCTATAGGTGGCTTTGGGTAGCATGGACATCTTAACAGCATTAAGCCTGCTGATCTATGAACATGGGATATAGTTCCATTTATTTGTGTCTTTTTCCATTTCTTATAGTTTTTAGTGCAGTTCTTTCACCTCCTTGTTTAAACTTATCTATAAATAAGTAATTTATTGTTTTGATGATATTGTAAATAGAATTGTCATCTTAATTACTCTTTCTGATGGGTTGTTGTTAATGTATAGAAATACAGCTGAGCTCTGGCCAGGTGGCTCTGTTAGTTGTAGTGTCATCTTGATGTGCCAAGGTTGTGGTTTCAATCCCCAGTCAGGGTACAAACAAGAAGCAACTGACGAATGCATAAATAAGTGGAACAACAAACTGATGTTTCTCTCTCTCCCTCTCTTTCTCTCCTTCCCTCCCCCTTCCTTTCTCACTCTAAAATCAATAAATAAAATTTTAACTAAAGAACTACAACTGAACTTTTTATGTTGATTATGTGTTCTAACTTGACTGAATTCATTTAGCAGCCCTAACAATTCTGGTGGAA